ATATAATAGAATTTTATACTAATCTTACTTCGTAGCGCCATCATAGATTTTAGTAGTTTGATTTATATAATTTTATAGGGTCAATTTTACTTTCTTCTGCAGGGCGGGCTTCAACTTACCAAGTTTCGGCTAGTGTATGGGAGGTAGTGGGTTAATTAAAGAAATGGTTTTTAGGTGTAGTTGGTTATATCTTTAATAGTTTCGTATTTAATTGCCCCACCGTCGAAGTAGATTCTTCTGATAGTTTAGTTCTTTTTTTTATTTTACTTCTTCATTTCTGATATGTTTATAAAATTTGTATTCGCTAACTATTACTGTTCAATAAAAATAAAAATAAAAATGTACATCATTACACGCATGCACAACAGAAGTACAATGGATAATCAGTCTCACAGTGAAATGCATTTGTGCTTCCTACATCGCTCTTGTGACAATCATATTGCATGTAGTACATGTTACGGCTGTTACGCCTAGTAAGCTAAATGTATCATGTATAATAAAATAAATTTGGTGATAGGTTATTTCTTTTTTTATTTTCATTTTGTTCTTTCATATTTACTATATGTATCGTTACGTGCATATACACACAAATCATTTAAATAAATTAAGTGTAACAATCAAAATAAAGTTTGTCATGGCAATGATTTCTTTTTCATTTTCCAAACATTACAGTATATATGATAGAAAGTAATTTATATTCCGCAGGAAGCCAAGAAAAATATCAAATGACTTTTCAGTTGCAGTGAAAATTGGTCAGAACTTTTATTGAAAAAAAGTAAATTTAGCTTATACCGATATTGTATAACGAACGTGATACTGTAATTTTTTATTACGATCAAAATATACATGCAAATGGTTCGACAACCTGCATTTGGCGATACAATTATGCTATCAACTAAGGAAAATATATACTCAAATCGTATTAATTTCAAAAAGACCATATACTGCACGCTTGTTATAGAAAAGCATGATTTTGTTATTAGACAGGTCAAATTTGTATTAAAATTTTTGCGACTATTCTAAATTTCTTTGTGTAATTTTTAAATCTGAGTACACTAAATAAATAAATTAAAAAATTGAATAACATTATGACTGACCACACCGAAAAATGATTTTTAAATTTGTCAATAATTAACAAACATCGAGTGCGATATATATGAATACAAAAATATTTTCATGTTTTATTCGAAAGTTATTTTATATTTGTGATTGATATTTTTCAAATTGTATAAATTGTATGCATTCCTGAAAGATTATTATATGTATTTTGTAATATTGTATACCTATTCAAATAAACGAAATATTTGTTAAACTACTCACCACTCTAAAACGACAATGTTTAATTTTGGTTTAGAATGAAATTCAGTTAATTCTATTAATACGGTTATAATGAATTTTAAACCAATAAGTGACTAATTTTCAAATTTCAACGTAAATAAAATGATGGTAAAACCGGATTTAATAAAAGAAAACCTGATAAACTCTGGATTAAACTTATATTAATACTTACTTTCCAAATATAGCTGTAAATGGTTTTCTTTTTTTTAAAAAAAAAGTAGTCTAAATTAATTAAGTTATTTTACATGTCAAAGTTTTATCATGGTAATCGTTTAAAAAAGAATAAGTATCAATATAAACCTACGTAAACCTATATAAACCGGTTCTTATGATGATAGCGTGGGAATTTTTTTAAAAAACACTAGCAATCACCCGTTGCTTTGCACCGGGACCAATAAGTTTGTTTAAATAGAAAATTTAGTATTATAATGTAATACTAAGTAAATTAAAGATTTTTTTGTTTATAATTAGGAATTTAATTAGGTCTTTCGGTTCTTCTTTGTAACTACTAAGGTATGTTTTTTATTTTTTTGTTTTTGTCTATTCATTACATGTAATTTCCGTTCCCTACTAACTTTATTTCTTCTTTTTAATTTTATGGGTTTGGTTTTTACTTGGTCTCCCTTTATCTCATTTTCGTCCCTTCTCCACTTTTTTGTTTTCTTTTTGTCTCTTCATCTCTTTTGCTCTTTTTATTCTTCCCTTACTTCATTTTTTCCGTTGTTTTTTATTTCCTCTATGTTCCTTTCGTCTTTTACACAAACCTTCGTTTCTTTCATTTTTATTCCATGCCTACTTCATCTTTTTTGTTCCTTTACACTATCTTTTGTTATTTTCATTTTTTTTCCATTCCCACTTCTCTTTACACTACCCTTTGTTCCTTTCATTTTTTTATTCCCCTTTTGCTCTATTTCGTCCCCCTCCATTCTTTCATTTTTTTTTTTCATTCCCACTTGATCTTTTCGTTCCTTTTGTTTCTTTCACTCCCTCTTTCCCTTTTACTCTCCTTATTTTTTCGTTAAGGCCGGGCAAAAAAAAAATTTAGATTCTCGTGACCCGGCCGGGTCTGTTTTACAAAAATTCAAGATTTTTTTTTTTATAGTAAAATTTTTTATCACGTGACTTTATATAATGAAATTATTAATTGTTTTATTATATAAAATTTTAATTTCAACATATTATTTTCGTGATCTTTTTGATACTTGAAACTTGGTATTCTTACCACGTTTTTTTTTACTTGAAACTGTTGTATGACACTCATCACAATAATAATAAAATCCTTCATTTAAATTGGGTCTATCAGATTCGTCGCATTCATCTTCTGGTACTTTTCCACACTGAAAACAAATTTCTTCAAATAAACCACTTGAATAATAAGAAATTTCTGTTGGATTATTACATATTAACAAATCATCAACTTTTACTTTTTTAAAAATTTCTCCTACATAATCATGTTCACTATTCTCATCACCATTAATATTTGATTCATTTTGTTCCACATTTTCCACTAAAGCTTCAAAAGAATCACCACATGTATATTGAATGGTATCCAGATATCTTTCCAAAATGGATACTTCAAAGGGAGATAACTTGCTTTTGCTATATAATACACGCCATTTGTTGCATTCACAACATTCAATTACTATTCCAACATTCCTTACAAATTGAGCAGTAGGACCAAATTCTATATGAGCTCTCTTCTTTTTTTGTTGTTGATTTAATAAAGATGGTCTATATTGCTCTGTTGTAATTGTAACATATACATCCTCAAATTGTTTATAATTAGTTTTGTCAGCTATTGGAACTGGGTCAGGTAATGAATGAACTTGTGAAAAATCAAGTTCATCACTTCTTATTGGCTTACAAATATTACAATCAATTGCCCCACACTTTTTTATTTGAAAAAAATAATGACGTGACTTGCAACAGTGGTCATAAAATTCTTGTAATTTAGCCTATTAAAATAAAAATTAATTATTAATTTTTAGTAATTATTTTAATAAATAAATATTAAATAAAATCTACTTACTTTATCCTTAATATCCTTTTTTGTTCTATCATCCATATTTAATGAATCTTCAATTTCTAATAAAGATTCCCATAAATCTTTAATTTCTTCTTCTGTTGCTGATTTATAAGTTATAAATGGCTCATCTTTTAGTGATAATCGTTAAAAGATACCTTCCATTAAGTTAATTGGTGCCTGTAAACTATTTATTAATTCATTTTTCAATTGTGGTTCATCCTTTGAATATGTGCGAATTTCCTCCATAGAATTGCATTTTTTCATTAAATTTTCTAAATCATTACTCAATTAATCACGCATTAAACCAATACTTTGCATACCAAGATTCAATATTGACATTATACGTTCAACTGGATTCTTCCAAGAATGACCTGGTGGAGTTCTAACAGCAATTAACAAATCTAAATCTAACTTCAAAAATAATGCTATTAATGCTAATTGAACACGAACATAAGTAACTCGATGATCAGGTCCTCCATCAGTATAAAGTAATAAATAAGGCTTATTTTCATTTGTATTATTTAATATTTTATATAATTCTGTCATATGGCGTAATGAATCTGATGGTTGAAATATAGGATCTTTTAAACTAATATATACTTGTCCAAGATAAAATGACTCTTCAATTGTAGCAGGAATTTCACATAACATTGTTACACTTGGAATGATACCACACTTTGTAAAATCATGATCTGAAACTTTAAAAGCCTTATTTTTTGATACTATTACTTGTCGCCCTCTTTCAACAGCTGCAACTGGATATCCTGGTTCACCTACTTTACATCTATGTTTATCATCCATAAAAATTAACCATGAATTCATACGTAAAAGTATTGCCATTTCCTTTTGATAACGAAACAAAGCACTAGCATAATGTAAATCTTCATGATTACAACGTAATTGCCTTGCTTGCACCATAAATTTAATTGGGAGTTTACCAGTAAATTGCACACTACTTTTATGTGTTGGATTTTTTGGCCAAAATTGTAGTCTAATCCATTGTACAGATGGAATTGGTATATTTGGAGGACAAATTTTAAGTACATAATTTAGAAAATCACAAGTTGAAATTGCAACTGCAAGATGCTGAAATATATCATGTCTTCTATCATCAACAGCTAAAACAGATTCTTGAGCTATTCCTTCTAAATATTTGGATGAATATTCCCAAAATACATCATATTTAGGTAATCTACCTTCATTAATTTCACGAAAATCCGTAATTAAATCAGGATCTCCTAATTCAAACATTACTTCTACACGATCATCTATATCTTGAGTTTCTGAATTAATTGAAGCTGCTGAATCTTGTAACCAAACAGAATAGATATAGCGCATTCTTGCTTTTTCTACTTTTCCAATATAAAGTTCAACTGTATCTAAAAATTCTTTTCTCATTGCTCTTGTATGATAAACTTGGAGTGTCTGTTTCAAATTATTTCTAATTGTATAATGTTTGTTAATCATATCCTGTTCATTAACATTAATACCAATACGCCAAACATAAACTGAATTTTATATATTTCCATGATGATATGTGTATTTTCCTACTTTGAATGGGAAAGCCACCTTTAATTTTTCAACAAATCTAAATCTTTGCCTAATTAAAAATAAGAATTCATTTATTATTTATTAGTTTATCAGAAGTTATTTATATAGTAAT